TCTGATGAACTGTTTCCCGCAAATGTTGCCCTGCGCTTTCTTTTACAACGCTCCAGCTGTGGTATGATACCTGCACCTGCAACTGCAAATCACAATTGCACCATCCATTCTCAAGCTCAGAAACAAGCTGAATTCAGTGTGTTGGAAGAAGTCCGGATGAGCTCTCACAGCGACATGCTCCATTCCTTTCATTCACTGGCCAGCGTCCGCAGCAAACCATCGACATTGTCCAACGCCTTTGCCTTGGCTATCTTCAACTAGGATAAAGATCGTCAAATCGGACCTGCAGGTGCAGTTGTGCTCGAGCTGAACCGGAATTGGCTGAAGTAATGGAGCGCTGCGAAAGAATATGCATAGCAGCGAAAAGATCGCAATAAGCAAGTGGTAATATTGAACGGCAAAGAATCATCTCAAGAATCTTTTCGCATCTGGGCTATCCGATATCCATCAACGAAGGACATTTTGTCAAGAAATGCTGATCGGTTCAATGTTCATTTTCGTTGTTGTTCAAAGAGGGAATGATTTTTGGGAAAACGGCATGAACCAAGGAAAGTTGGAAAGGAGTCCTGTTGTCATCGTCACTGCTTGCATGAAAGCACGAAAGTACAAAACGCTCATCCGGACGGCTTCAACAATGGGGAGACAAAAGAGCATCCAAATCCAGCCAGTTACCACATAACAATACGTGATTGGATACAAAGCCGTTTGCAGTAATCAAAGATCAAGAAATTGGCCAGGATCAAGAATGTCAGCATGCTTTTGCACATCTTCCATTGTGTGAGCTGGGCATGACGTATACCCCACAACTGAGAGCCTAGATGATCTAGATGCTTCTAGAACAGGTATCCACCATCATGTCGTGTACACCAACTCTTCACATTCCAGCATGCTTTCACACATGAACTGATTTCCATGCAATCGTTCTTTGGGAGTTATAGATCGTTCAGCGCTCTTTGCGTTGTTCGTTTGCGCAGGGGCTATGCTTGACTCGCTAATTTTTTCACATCCCACGGATGTCACAGAAAACATGTAATGGATTAGAACGTCTGAAATCCTGTTGAATGAGTATGTGTAAAACATGGCATCAGTCGTTTCACGTTCTTTGTCTCAGCCATGTGTCCATCCTCAAAAGATGAAGCTCGAACAAGTTGAACAAACTCCTGTAAATGGCGAAACAGCTGGTTGCTGGACTGCCGATTGAAGAACTTGCAGCTGCCAAGCGGGCACAAAAGGCATCTTCAGCTCTCAAAAGATGAAGCTCGAACAAACTCCTGCACATGGCGAAACAGCTGGTTGCTGGACTGACGAGGATCCTCAAGGATCTCTATATATTTCTTCTTATGTTTACCCAAATTTGCTCCCAGCGCCCGAAAACAAGCACTCTGCATATCATAGGAATGTATACAATATATAATATATAGGAATGATATTATTGTCATGAAACGACTGGGTGACATACACACAAGGTGTAGTAATGCAGCATGTCAACAAAAACTTAGATGGACCAAAGTAATGCCATGGATGTCTTGTTCTTTGTACGTAACCACAAATGCGCCTCTGTCTCAGTGCAGCTGCTGGCCAAAAATACAGTAGTGTCCTTGGGACACCCCCACAGCAAACTTGAATGTCTCAAATCACTCCAATCATTGAATTACAGGTGCACAGTACGATCGATTTTTGTCATGGTCACCATCTTTTAGCACGCAAATTAGACAAAGACAAATCACCGACCAAATCTCTTCCAAATCATCTTGAGCAACTGACCTTTGAGCAGCTCGGGCAAGCCGGCACAAAAGGCATCTTCATCTCTCAAAAGATGAAGCTCGAACAAAGTTGAACAAACTCCTGCAAATGGCGAAACAGCTGGTTGCTGGACTGACGAGGATCATCAAGGATCTCTATATGGTTGTTGATCAAAATTCCTTTCTCCCGGAACGGCCATTCTTCGCGAATAAAAATTTTACTTTCGCGAAACTTTCGCGAATTCCATGTTTATCTTTCGCGGGGCCCATGTTGGCCAACAACACCTCTTATGAAGATTCGTTCACCACCTGCCAAATTACGCCAGAGAATCACGGATCACTTCTTGGTAGCCTTTTAAACATGCAGCTAGCATCACGGAATCCCTTCTCAGGACAGACTTTCTTTTGCAAAGTTTACTGGCCCACCCCCTTCAACATGCACTTTGACTTTCGCCCGCTCTTTCGCATAACTTTCGCGGACCTTTCGCGAAAATATCCCTATTCACAGACCCCGGCCATCAGCAGGGGGTGCACTGAAGGAAAAGCGAAGACCAGGGGCCTTGGTGCTTGGCTCTCGCAAAGCCTCACTTTTGGAAACTTGGCTACTGCTACTCGCATTCTCTGGTGCCCTTCTCCTGCCGGACCCCGGGCGGCAGTGGGTGGCAGCCCTTTACATATTTATTATAATACCCAACTTTCGCGAAACTTTCGCGAAATAAAATTTTACTTTCGCGAACTCGAACTTTCGCGAGGGTTTCCAACATAACATGCACGGCTTTCGCAATTAAAACTCCTTACAAGGACCTTTAGATCGGTCACCATATATTTCTTCTTAAGTTTACCCTCATTTGCTCCCAGCGCCCGAAAACAAGCACTCTGCATATCATAGGAATGTATACAGTATATAGGAATGATATTATTGTCATGAAACGACTGGGTTACATACACACAAGGTGTAGTAATGCAGCATGTCAACAAAAACTTAGATGGACCAAAGTAATGCCATGGATGTCTTGTTCTTTGTACGTAACCACAAATGCGCCTCTGTCTCAGTGCAGCTGCTGGCCAAAAATACAGTAGTGTCCTTGGGACACCCCCACAGCAAACTTGAATGTCCCAAATCACTCCAATCATTGAATTACAGGTGCACAGTACGATCGATTTTTGTCATGGTCACCATCTTTTAGCACACAAATTAGACAAAGACAAATCACCGACCAAATCTCTTCCAAATCATCTTGAGCAACTGACCTTTGAGCAGCTCGGGCATGTCAGCACGAACCTTAAACCAGCAACAACATCGAACCATGTCCAGCTGTGAAGTGGATGTTTCAAACTTGCCGTAAACAGATATTTTCCAAGGAACTCTGCAATGCTTGGAAGCGTGGCTTTCGGTTGAACCACATTGATTCCAGAGACGTAGATCTTTAAACCAACATCTCCTGGAGAGTACCTTACATCATGAGACCATGCTAGCCGCTAGCCGTCCATGCCTCAACTTATGAATCCAACACTGGAACAGAATCTGAAACATCTGAAACATGCAAATGACATGTTGCCTAATATTTCCTGCTGGCCGCATCGCTGAACAGTCGGCTGGAATTCAATACCATGAAGCCGTTGTCAAATAAGAGATTCGGTAATTTGGTGGTGGTATGGCAACCCCTTGCCGCTTAGTAGCAAGTGAGTACCGCTGGCCAAGCAAGACGCTCCGTCCATGCAGTTCATGGCCACATCCTACTAGAAATGCAAGGTCTGCCCGTTCACTGCAGCATTAGGACAACCCGGTGACAACCCAGTCAAAACACATGAAAACCTAGTCAAAAATGAACATCAAAGCGAAGCTGTCGAAAAATGATCCAAGGTCTAGCTCCAGGACTTTCTCATTTCAGCTACAATTTTCAAGTATTTAAATAATCCGATCATTTTTGACGTACGTTGGTTTGAATGCCACAATGTGCCACAGTTGCTCTGTTGCAAGCATTTCAGCCGCGGTGTCTTGAACAGAAAGCATTTCAGGATCCCTGCGTGCATTCTGTCAAAGCATCCTAACAAAAATCACTACAAAATGCATTTCCGATTTTCAAGTGCTTTTTTCGAAAAAAATGACAAGCCGCTACAAGATGCAGCGCATGCCCTCTTACTACAAAAACCAGTGCAGGAATCCGTTTTTGTTGCATGAATTCTCCCCGTAACAGGGGATGGTATCCAGCACGTGTTCACCCTTTTAGTTGTGGAAATGGTAAGGGGGCTCTTTCAGGCACAATCGCAAGGCAGCAAGTGACAACATGTTACCCGCTTGGCTCATGCATGTTGTGGCACGGCTTGGAACCGGTTGCAGCACACTTGCAAAATGTTTTGCCACATCCAGCTTACTTCTTCCCTTAGGGAAAATGTTGCGGCCCTCCGACTCAGTCAGCGGCGGCAGTGAGATGCCTGGTACACTTGGCCAACCAAAAGCCGTTGCGATTAGCTCACATCCTTTTGCGGATTTGAAGGCGGTTAGCTCCATGTCACAGCTGGTAGCAGTCATCCACCAGCAGCACCACCTGCAGCAGGTTCTGCTGGCCCACCTGCGCTGGCAAACGCAGCAAGATTCAGTAAAACTGTTTTGCTGCCACAGCGATTCAAACCCAAACCCTTTGAAAAAAGGATTTCAAAGCATATGCACTTGCAAAAATTACAACACGAAGGTTGCCCGGACTGTGGCTATGCTCATACCACCAAAGGACCACTAGTGGGGAACAAAACACACGGCCGGGCACCCTGGTTCTCCAACAGCTTCTCTATGTCTTCGCGTGAAAGGTTCTTAGCTGCCTGCGCTCAACAGCCCCCACATTCTGAAAGCGCACTGCTTCACAACCAGGCGACATGCAAGAACTGCATGCCCGAATGCAAGAATTGCAGGCCTTGACAAGGTTTGCACGACGCTTGCGGAGTTTCCTGTCCTCTTTGGAGGCCGCGCGCAGCTCCGCTTTCAGTTCCGTGCGGCGCCTCTTGACTTCACTGAGTTCCTCATGAAGTAACGCCTGCAATGACGATTGCAAATGGGAAACCAAAGATTTTAAAGGAGGGAAAAACCCATGGACAACAAAATGGGAAGCCATAGGTGTAGGAAACCAGGGGTGAAACATTAGCAAGAATGGAAGTTGATTTATGGGCAAGACTGAGTGTCTGTTTTTGGGCCTACAAAACCCACGCAAAACCGGAGACACAAATGGAGGCCCCCCCAGTTCCAAAAGGTGTTTCCACAGCAGTTTAATCCAATGTTCTAATGGGTTTGCCTTTGTACAGCCGAACATGACCTTTGGCCGCTGGCTGCTTCCAATGCACATAGGACAGAACATCCAGCTTACTTCTTCCCTTAGGGAAAATGTCGCGGGCCTCCGACTCAGTCGGAGGCCCTGGTGGGATGGTCGGTACACTTGGCCAACCGAATTCAAAGAGTAAAGATTGGCACACATCCTTTTGCCAATTCGAAGCACCAACCTTGGCGAAGGCCCGGCTCCATTTCACAGCTGGTAGAATTGATTGTAAAGATGAACCCAAGATCTCCAGCCATTGGGCAGGCGAAATCTTTCCGTCCACACTCATTGATTGCTGTGAACGATATAGCTCTGCGATTTTCTCCTTCAGCCGCGAAAATAGATCTGTGTCTGCTGGTTGAAGGCAACGTGTGAGCCCAGCTGCAATGTAGACCAAACGAATATGGTTGAGCTTCGCTTGCCTTTTAATGGAACCGTGCAAGTGAGAAGGCGCGCAATCTAGAAGTAGTGCATAGTCACGGCCCGGAGCTGCAGCCTTGAGCTTGAATCCAAGCAAAGAAATATATCGTCTCAGTGTAGCATGGCATGACCAAGCGCTTTTCTGGGTCCAAACGGACAGATTGCCCCTGAGTTTCTCCACTTTGGCCTTCTTTCCAAGAAACCGACCGTTCGTGAGGAGAACCTGCGGAAGGAATGGCTGCACAGACGTGTCATTGCAAATCGTGCACATCAATGTGAACCGAGCCCGCGTCTCAGCCAAAGATGCGGCATCTACAGCCTTGTGCCCTGTGAAGCCCCGGGCGGCAGTGCCAACCTTCGCGGTTGGCTTCAAAGCAATGGAAGTTTCGTCCATGTTCAGCAAGAGAAGAGGACCCGAGCTGCTTGATTGTGCATGAACGTAGTTGCTCCATCTCCAAAAAGCTTTCGCCTGCCGACTGTAGGGTCAAAAAATGGTCCCTTCTGGGAGATCATGAAATTGACCCTCTATTAAACACAAGCAAGGGAGGGCCCAAAAACGGTCCCTCCAGGAGGGTCCAAAAGTGGCCCCCAGAAATCGACCAAAAATACCTTTTTGACAAAAACAATCCATATCGAATCTTTTCTCATTTCAACCATCCAAAACAATGACTTTCTCCCGCCTTGCGCTGCATGTCTGCTAGAGGCATCACTGCCTGCACACGCACGCGGCCCAACTGTAGACCATGTTCAAAACGAAAGCGGCGCAACCACTTTCTTTGTGACCTTGCGCGTCCATTGCCTTTCCAGTACTGCTCCAGCATGGCTGCCACATCATGCGGCAAATCCTTTGGAGTCAGCCTGCACGCTTCTGCTACTAATTGTTGCCTCCCAGGTGCAACCCCTTTCTTGTTTTGGGCAAGCAGCCATGTGTATAGCTGCGTTTCAACTATAAAGCGACCCGCCGCAAACAAGTCACGACGGTGGCGTGGGCATGTGGGACTATCTAAGAGGCCCACAATGGTTTCGAAAGGCACCTGCAAATAGGCATCTTCAATTGCAGAAGCTAAAGAATTTGACAAGGAAGCCTCTGCCACATTCAACTTGTTCTTGGCCGCCAAAAAGCGTGCAGCACAAGCAGAATTTCTGCCGCTCAACTCGAAAACAGCCAAAACAGATGTTGCAGTAGGCTGTACTTTGAGCATCACATGCTCTCGGGGGTCGCTAGTTCCTTCCTCCTTGGCAAGCTCAAGTCTTTTGCGTCTGCACAATCTTCTCTGCAAAGCTCGCAGGTGCTGAACGACACTTTTCAGCTCACCACCCACAGCGGCCATGGCTGCCACGAATGCATACGGAAATTGGCCTGGGCTTGACATCGACAAAAGCAGCCACACAAGACACATGTGCACAAAGGCAAATAGCTTCGAAGAACATCGCAAACCCTATGTCATATGATAGGTATGTCAACCTTTGAGTCAACACTTCGCCGATACTTTGCACTAACAAAGCATGGTTTTGCGAAGAAGCGGTTGCAGCACCGGGGAGGCCCAACAAGCGTCTCCATTTTGCATTGGTTTTCAAGGGTCCAAAACTAGGACCTCAAAATCAACCTTTTAAAGACAACCCGATCAATCATTGAAAGCCACAACCCAAGTGATCTCGCCTCGGTGTTCCTTTTTGGAGCCATGCCACGCACGCGTCTTCGTGTGTCAGTTTGGGCCATTCAAACTCAACAAACGACAAAAACAAACCACAAATGTTCAGCTCGCACATGCACATGGTGAGGGCCAAAGTGACGCAACACGGGCACCCAATGGCAAATCTTCTCTTGCCGCAAGCGATCTGTTTTGACTCCCTTCAGCTGGTATTGGATAACAAAGCTGTCACCACCCCATGTGAGCCTTCTCAAGAACAATTAAATTAAAGCCATGCGGTCTCGACCTTTTGCTCCTCAGTCCAGATCGGACGCCCACAAACACCCGAGGCAAGGCACATGAAGACGACAAAGTCCAGCAAGAAGGCGGCGAACGCGGCGAAGTCCAGGAAGAAGACGACGAAGGCGGGCGGCGAAGTCCAGGATGAGGACGGCGACGGCGGCGAAGTCCAGGAAGAAGACGACGAGGGCGGGCGGCGGAAGTCCAGGATGAGGACGGCGACGGCGGCGAAGTCCAGGACGAAGAAGGCGAAAACGGCGAAGGCGTCAACAAAAGCAAAGTAGCTGCAATCTACCATGTTCGAGAAGTTCCTCGACAGAAAGTGCAGCCGCGGCTGCTTCTGAAAAAAGTCCTTTTAAAACCAAATGTTGCAAATCTTTTTGGAACCGAAAGCGCCTCACGAGTGAGAACTGAAATCCAACTGCTATGCATGACATGTGACTGTCATGAAGTGAAGGCTAAACACTGTCACACAGCTGAATGCAGAGTGCGGTAAACCTTTGCACCCCACCTCAGCTTGCATTTCTAATGCTATGCTGCTATACACCCCTTAGGACTGTTGTGAGTCCTTCTTCTCACTTCTGTTGGGGCATGTTTGTTGTGAAACACTTTGACGCTGTTGCCAATGATGAGAGTCTTTTGTCTCAACCTAATGACAAACATCTGTGGCGTCATTGGAAAATTTGCCTCTCTCACTGTCTGAGTTCTTCAAAATTCTTGCAGCTCATCTGTTGTTGCGTCAGTGGTGTCCCTTGATGGCTGTCCATAGTGTAGATCAGCCCATGCATCCGGGTCACTGACTTCTGCTTGTTCTGCATTTTGGTATCTTGTCATCCTCTCTGATCTTGTTTCCTCGCGCATTGACTCATCTGAGTCGGCTTCTGCAGCTTCTGGTTCTTTGAAGATCTCTGCAAAGGTGCGTAAGAGATCCATTGTCACTTCAACTCTTTGAAGTTCCAGAAGTCTGATAATGCACCGGTGGACATCCTCGTGGCTTGTTGAAAGGAGTCCACGTTCGTCTTTTCCAAGACCATATGTGGGTGAATTGTCATCATCTGACAAATTGTACTCCTCGCTCAAGGCATTCAAAGTCTTTTCTCTGTCCTCTGAGCTTGCAGTTGGCAGGTGTTGTAAGCATCTTTCCAACCATCGTTGCATCTGCTGGTACCTCATAGCTGCGCCTATGTTTCCACTTTCACTGGCGCGACGTAGTCGTCCACGTACTCGAACAAATGTCCAAGTGACCAAACCTTCCAAGCTTGTGTATTCATGAGTCACCTGTGGGCCCATGAAGTTGGACAAGGTGTCAGGCAACAATGGTGGTGGACTGTACCTGAAGTCCATGCTTCGACGCATCATGTACCATGAATACCCAACCAACAGCAAAGTCCAGGTCATCAGAAAAGCTGTTCCAAACCAAGAGCTGTGTGAGGTTGTAGAACTATCCAAGTTGCAACCTTGGAGTTGTGTGGCCATGAGGCCCTGTAGATTCACCAAGGCCAGGTGGCCAAGTCTCATGCGGTGAGATCGGTTGTCCTCACCTTCTGTCATGTCCTTTGTAGGACTGCTTTCATGGCTGCTAATGTCATCGATTGTGTTCAACATTTCTGTGGCGGCATCTCGATCAGCATCATTTGCAGCTCCTATGAAGTTCATGAAATCTGCAAGGAGTGCTCGACGTTGGTTGTAGGCTTGGGCACGAACTGCGTCACCAGCCTGTGTTGCATCCTCATAACGTCGATTGCACCTTTCGAACATCCAACTGATCATTCCCTCTGGAGAGAAAGCAGGAAAATCGTCAGTGTCTTCCGTGGCTTCTGTCATGATGCTTGCTGTATCAGCATCGTCAGAGCCATCCATGGAGTCAAAACTGGGGCTATCCGGTGTGCCCTTTCTGACATGTCTGCATTGTGACATCCAAAGCAGGTAAGCACCAAGAAGTCCAACCCATGCTGCTGTAAAAACGTAGGGGACTTCTAACATTTCTGTCGCCATTGCGTCACACCCTTGAAGTTGAAGGGTAAGCAGGCTCAAGGCGCCTATCAAAACTCGAAGTTGTGAATTGCGACTTGAAGTTGATGCAGCTTGCTGTGGAAAATGTCTGAAGATTCTTCCTGGGTCGTCTGATCCTACCAGTTGGTTTTGTGAGTGGCTCCAAAGCCCAAAGAGAAACATCAATGATTCCAGCCTGGCAATTGAAAGTCGTTTTGTTGAGACATCTGCTGGATTGATTGTTCCCAAAACTGCTTTGACTTGCAACATCTTTTCAACAACTAAGTTCTGGAGCCAAAGTACCCTGCAGCTCAAATGCCTGAGTCTTCCAACACCTCGACGTGACAAGACTCCACGCGCTGCAGATGAATCCAAGTACAAGTACATGAGAATGCGGACTTGGAGCAACCAGAAAAGAATAGTTCTGATGAGAATTGCATCCATGACAGCTGAAGCGGCAGCATATGTTTCAGATTCAGCGCTCGAAAGTGACACGATCTTCTGGGTCCTCGAAGATGAGTAAATCAAACATCCTCCATAGAAGATTGCACTGCCAGAAACCGATCTGCGTGTGTTTCTGTCAGCAGCCCAGTCTGCGTCACTGAAGATTTCCAAAACAGGTTCTTCACATTCATATTCGCGCAACAAACCTGAGTGCATGCCCTTCCATTTCAAAGAGACACATTGGTCAGAGTGACCTGCCATGTACCCAACCAGGTGTTTCAAGACCACCATAGCTTTGTGAGTGGGTTTTGATGCACATGTTGAGAGATACCTGATCACGTATTGACATTGCGGCAAATCTGGAGACAAGTACAGCAAGATTCCAATGCAAGATCGATACACTGAAGCATCATGTTGGTTCAGCTCCTCAGTGGTGTCTGGAGTCTCAATCTCGCTGTGGCCAGGAGATCTCTTGTTTTGCAAACGTTTTGACAAATGAAGTAACTTGCAAAGCTGATCCAAGTGTTTGGGATGGATTCGAATGATTATCCTCCCATCTGACATCAACTGGTGGGTTTTCTTCAAAAACGTCACCTCATCACCTGGTCCAGACATGATTTCAATGGAAATTGTGTACTTTGCCTGCAATGAAGGAATGAGCTCCTCTAAGACCGTCTTTCTGCATCCCACGATGAGAATGTCATCGATGTGCACCAACATCAAACAGTCACCTTTGGCTGAGCGCAACATTGACGGGTAGGCTTCATTCTCGGCCATTTTCAAGCTGCTACTTTCGAGAAACTTCACCAGATCTTTGTGCCATAAGAGGCTACCATCGCGTTGACCTGGCAGAACTCGGCCAAGACTGTAGGAAATTGAGTTTCCACTTGCGTCAGTGCACCTGACACGCGTTGGCTGCTCTTGCGCAACTGTCAAGAAGGCATCCTTCACATCAATTGCAAGCATCAAGGTTTCTTGATGTTCCTTCAAAGCAAGAAAACAAATGGGCAAGATTCTTGTTGCAATGTTGGAGGAAGCCGGTGAGAACAAGGCTTCTCTGTCGGGTTGCAACCAAGTATATTCCCTTGCCACAAGTCTGCTTCTTCTCAACCAGATCGCATTGCCTGAATCATCTTTCTTTTCACGCCAAGTGCGCACAAAACGTGTGCTCAGGCACTTTGCGTCAGCAGGTAGGGTGTCTTCAAGCAAGACATGAAGACCAAACAAACGTTCAATTTCAACTTGGTCTGCAATGCTGTCCAGTCGTTGAAGTTCACCAGATTCAAGCTGTGGTTCTTGTGGACCATATGGAAAGCTGAGCTCTTTCATGCGGTTGCTGAGCTTTGAAATGGGTTCATATGGATCTTCATCAAGATTCAACTCATGTTGCAGCATGACATCAAAATCTTGGTCTTGTAGAACAACATCGGGTTCAATGTCCAAATGCTCGATTTGTCGCAGTTGTCCAAGCAAACTGACACTGCCTGGACCATCGCCATGCTTGGCAATCTTGTTGGGAGACATCATGTCATCAAATGATGTGTCATCAACTAAATCACGTCCAGCTTCAGACTGTGGTGTCTGTGGCACAACATCTCCATGAGGCATCTGAGTGTCAACTGCTTCAGAGTGAAGACGCTTTGAATCCCCACCTGAGTCCTCATGTTCTGCATCGCGCTTATTAGATCTTGGTGCATCAGATGATGCTGCAGCTGTGCTTTGTTCAGGCACAGGACCAATTGTTGCTGATCCTTCATCACCTTGCATGTGGATCGGTTGTTGCTCACCAGGCTCATTTGTGATGGGTACCGCAGTGTCCCCCACCTCAGCTGATAGAGCCTTGGCATCCACGTCTTCATACGGATGTGCCCTTGCATAGTCACGTACTGCCAGCGCATCTCTGTCACCCAAATTGAGTGTAGTGCCAACTGCAACCCCTGGTGGAAGTGATGACCTTTTTGAATAAACCAAACGATGTCCCAAGTTTGCATACCCATACTCCCATGGTGATGCAGTGATTTCACCAAGCATCTCAAGTTGAAAGGAATCAGGAAGTCTTCGAATGCTGCGTGTTGTGAAAATTCCAGTTGGTGTACCAATGATGTGGCAATCGTTGGACATAGTCTTGCTAAGCCAGATACCTTTGGTCCATTGTGGAAGACCTTTCAAACTGGTTTTCAAATATCCAAAAACTGTTTCACCATACATCGCAACCTTTCCAGAATAGAACCTTCCAGTCGTCCTCTCATAGCTGGTCATGGCACGTTTCACAGAAAAATGATTGTGTAACCAGGTGCTGTGAATGAGTGCCCATGCATAGACTGGGTGCATACATCCAAAAATGGGACCCTTGCAACCAGTGGCTTCTTCGATCTGAGAGACAAGTAAGTTCGCCTTTGACCGCAAGACGCCAACCATCGATTCTGCAGATGGTCGCCTGTAGGTGCAGGTTCTGCATGTACCAGGATGTTCAAACCCATGCAAGCTCGTTTGACAGCTTCAAGAAGAGCTAGTGTGCTTGGCTCTCCATCACAACGTAAACCAACTTCAGAGTGACCACAATGCACAATGAATCGACACATTTCTGTAACCAGGTAGCTAAGGCTTTTGCCACCCTTTTGCAACGTTGGAAGTGCCAAACAAAGTCCAGTGTCACGGTCACTGAGTACCAACACTGTCAACTTGTCGGTTTCATCTTTCATGCGACTGCAAAAGAAAAAATCAAATGAAATCACACTGTGGCTTGCAGCTTCATGAGTCTGAGGTCTGTGGCCATCTTGTCTTGCTCGATGGGCAACACACAATGGGCACCATGTTTCATATGGTTCATGTGTCAAGTTGTGAGCATCTCGAACTGCTGCTGAGGGTTCCACAGGTTTGCGTTGTGGCACTGCATGACGTTCCACATCCTGTTTCAGTTTGGCCTCAACAGCCTGTGCTTCCATGAGCTCACGTGTTTTCACAAACTCAATAATGCGCTTCATGCATTCTTTCTTTGAACCACGTTTTGAAAGTCCAAGTGAAGTACAGCCAGCCCTGAGTGCACGCAAAGGAGTGTCATGAGTGTAAGTGATGCCATCAATTGTGATTGTGGATTCATCAAAGTATGGAATCACACGGTCTTCATCCAATGGTTCAGCCTCAGGAACATCGGCTGGGGTTTCCTCAACAGGCTGTGCTTGCTGTGGATTTTCTGCATCATCCACATCAATGTCATCATCAAAAATTGGTCTGCTGTCGTCCTCAGCGATCCTGAAACCAAGCTCTTCACTGGGAACGCTGTGAACATGTGCAAGTGTCAAGACTTCGACAACGCTTTCAGGATCATAAATGTCACCTTCCATGTCATCCATGTCACTCACAGGTTCTGAAAACTCCAAAAGTTCCCATCCTTGACCATCTCTGAAAACAAGTGTTGTTCTCAACCACATCATCTCTTCTGCTGGGCATATTGTTGTGTCAACAAACTTGGCTCGCCGCGTGGTCAGTGCATAGACCTGTGGGTTTATTTTGTTCCACCCTGGCAGCAACCTACGCAAAACTCTTTCAAGATGAATTGCACGTACAGCAGAAACTGATGGTGTTGAGCTTTTGGGACTGAGAACATCATCTTCTGAAATCATTCGAATGCAACCTTGAACACACAATGAATTGCGCTTGAAGTGCACATTGACAAACCTGTCATGTTTCACCAAACAAATGCCAGAATCTGTGTGCTGAAGCTCCCAACCAGCTCGAATGATGTGGCCCAATGCTAAGAGCGGGCAACTGATGTTGGCAATGATGAAACGTTCACGCAAAACAACACCATTCCCTAAGTCAACTGTGGCTAATCTGGTATCTCTGATGTCCAGCTTGCCACCTTGAGCGTCGATGTAATCATGTCCAATTGTCTCATGACTGCATGATTCACCAACATCACAGTAAGCTAGGGGCAGAGCGCTCGTGTCAGCGCCAGAGTCCAGGATGATGTCAGCTGAAGTTGAACCTGCCTGTGTCATCATGCGCACGTGGTGAAATCGATTGGGCTCCTTGAAGTCAGGTTCGCAAGTCCAGTTTCCATCATCATCAGTACATGCCATGTCAAACTGAATGGGATCAAGTTGTTGAATTGCACGAACCAAACCAGAGCTAGTTGCACCATGGTCAGAAAATTCAGTGAGGTCCTCGATGATCACAGTTGAATCACTGAAAGCAACACGATTCACATTACCTGTTGACCTGTATGAAGTTGCACTTGGGGATTGCTGAGCTGTTCCAGTACTGCTAGGGCTAGAAGCAACACGCTGAGAGTTGTTGTCATCAGCTTCAACCTGCCTCACAGCACCAGATGCCTTGTCGGCTTGAAACTTTCTGCAATCCTTCTTCCAGTGTCCAAAAGCACCGCAATAGTTGGAACGGTTGACATCAGTCGGCTTTGCCTGTGTCTTGCCACCTCCTTTGGAGGGTGTGCTGTAACCCTTGCCATTCTGCTGCGATTTGCCTTTGCCCTTTGCGTCTTTCGATTTTCCTTTGTCTTTGCCTTTGCCTTTCTGTGGTGATTTGCCTTTTCCTTTACCCTTTGACTTGCCTTTTGACACTTGGTTGATCTCCATTGGCGCTATACCTCCAGAGTCACTTGCATAGGAAGTCACTGCGCCAAGTTCACTGTAGACCTTTTCCTTGCTCCATGTTGTACTCAATCTCTCAAACGCTATGACCTTTTCTTTGATCTCCGCAAACGTTGAAGTCTCTGTCATGTTCAACTGCACATGTTGTTGCAGCTGCTTTGGCAAACATTTGACCAACGTTGTGAGCAGTATGTCATCTGCTACGTCTGCACCACTGCTTTTGCGATACTCATCAGCTATGCGTTCTAGTCCTTGCACCTGCTCCAGCAATGTCTTTTCACGTGTAAAGGCTGGATGTGTCATCAAAGCACTGAGAATTCCCAAAGCTCGGCTCTTTGTCTTTGGTGTGTATAGACTTGAAAGTTGTCTCCACACCTCCATGCCATTGCTATTGGGCACCTGCTTCAACAGCTTCAGGGGCCGTTGTTGCAAAAGACCTGAAAGAATCGCATACAGCTTCTTTGACCGCAATTCTGATGCAGCACCTTCTGGAGTTGCCGTGTAAGTCACAGGCACATTGAGATGATCTTCAACATGTTTGAGGTCTGTCTCGAATCCAGGTTCAGCGTAAACCAGCCATTGCTTGAAGGAGAAAGCAAAGTCTAACCAGTTCGCTTGATCCTCTGTTGAACTTGTACTTCCAAAGCTTGCAGGACATCTCACAACCTTGCTAGCTTCTGCAAAACCACTTTTCTGCGCTCTTGCCTGCTCATTGGATTCCTTCAACGCTTGTGCCGCTTGAGCAGCAGCGTCAGCAGCTCTACTGACTGCTTCCAGGATCTGTGAAGCTTGGGCACCAGACATAGTCTCTGAGCACCACACCAGCTAACCCTGAAAAACTGTTGAATCCAAATCCCAAACCAGCAACAAAACGCAGTGAAATGTGTCCTGTCCAGAGCTATCCAAGTGAAAACTGTCCCAACCAGAAAGCCAAACGTGTGGCCAGTCTCAGCAATGATTGCACCTGCAGAGTCAGCAAAGGAATATGGCAACGGGTAAACCCTTATGACCCCAAAGTTCAGAGGTCCTTGGAGGCTATGGTTTCTGGCCTCCTTCGAGCCCTCACCAGAAACCTAAGGAGTCTGGATCACGGGGCTCCGCTACCATGCAAATCTTTTTGGAACCGAAAGCGCCTCACGAGTGAGAACTGAAATCCAACTGCTATGCATGACATGTGACTGTCATGAAGTGAAGGCTAAACACTGTCACACAGCTGAATGCAGAGTGCGGTAAACCTTTGCAAATGTCCATTCTTGGGACGCCATCTTCCCCAATATACGCCCAGATAGTGGGACATAAATCTCTGAAAATTTTCCTGGAACCAAATTGGTCATTTTTTCGGCGCCATCTTTGGCGATATACGTCCAGATAGTGGGACAGAAGTCCCTGGCACAAATACGCCCAGATAGTGGGACAAAAATCCCTGAAAGTGTTCTGGTACAAAATTGTCAATTTTTTCGGGCGCCATCTTTGGCAGTATAGTGGGACACAAAATCTCTGAAAATTTTCCTGGAACCAAATTCTTATACGTCCAGATAGTGGGACAGAAGTCCCTGGCACAAATACGCCCAGATAGTGGAACAAAAATCCCTGAAAATTTTCTGGTACAAAATTGTCAATTTTTTCGGGCGCCATCTTTGGCAGTATAGTGGGACAAAAATCTCTAAAAATTTTCCTGTTGGCAATATACGTCCAAATAGTATCAAATAGTGGGACAGAAGTCCCTGGCACAAATACGCCCAGATAGTGGGACAAAAATCCCTGAAAGTTTTCTGGTACAAAATTGTCAATTTTTTCGGGCGCCATCTTTGGCAGGATAGTGGGACACAAAATCTCTGAAAATTTTCCTGGAACCAAATTCTTATACGTCCAGATAGTGGGACAGAAGTCCCTGGCACAAATACGCCCAGATAGTGGAACAAAAATCCCTGAAAATTTTCTGGTACAAAATTGTCAATTTTTTCGGGCGCCATCTTTGGCAGTATAGTGGGACAAAAATCTCTAAAAATTTTCCTGTTGGCAATATACGTCCAAATAGTGGGACAGAAGTCCCTGGCACAAATACGCCCAGATAGTGGGACAAAAATCCCTGAAAGTTTTCTGGTACAAAATTGTCAATTTTTTCGGGCGCCATCTTTGGCAGTATAGTGGGACACAAAATCTCTGAAAATTTTCCTGGAACCAAATTCTTATACGTCCAGATAGTGGGACAGAAGTCCCTGGCACAAATACGCCCAGATAGTGGAACAAAAATCCCTGAAAATTTTCTGGTACAAAATTGTCAATTTTTTCGGGTGCCATCTTTGGCAGAATCCGCAGAGCAACTGAGCAACTTCCGTAACGTACTAAAGACGGAAAATAAATTTAAGTTTTCTGTTCTCAAAAAAGTGCTCAGTTGCTCCTCCCATTTGGTCAATCTCTTTTTGGAAAACCATTTTTGGAACCATGTGTGTCCAGAGAATGGGACAGAAGTCCCTGAAAGATGTCCTGCCACAACACGTCCATTTTTGGGGTGCCATTTGTGGCCTTATCCGCCCAGACAGTGGGACAGCAGGTCCCTGAAAATTGTCCTGAAACCAAATGTCCATTCTTGGGGCGCCATCTTCCCCAATATACGCCCAGATTGTAGGACAGAAATGCCTGACAATTTTTTCTGAAACCAAATGCCCATTCTTTGGGCGCAATCTTCCCCAATATACGTCCAGACAGTAGGACAGAAGTCCCAGTGTTTTTTTCTGAAACCAAATCGCCATTCTTGAGGCGCCATCTTCCCCAATATACGCCCAGATAGTAGATTTTTTTTCTGGCGCCATTTTTTTTTCAGGTGCCATCTTGGGCAGTAAAATTACAGATGGCACCCCAAAAATGGAACCCCCCAAAAAAAAAACAAAATGAATCCAAAACCGACAATAATACCTTGAGTCCCATCTCATGTGTAAATTTGATCATTTATTCCCATGTCATGTGTCAAAAAATTGAAAAATACTTGCCCGTTAGGTCAGGGACCTGCTGTCCCATTGTCTGGGCGGACAGGGCCACAGATGGCACCCCAAAAATGGAACCTCCAAAAATTGTTTTCCAAAATGAATCCAAAATCGACAATAATATCCTGAGTCCCATGTCATGTGTAAATTTGATCATTTATTCCCATTGTATCTGTCCAAACTCATTTGTAAATTTGATCATTTATTCCCATGTCATGTGTCAAAAAAATTGAAAAATACCTGCCCGTTAGGTCAGGGACCTGCTGTCCCATTGTCTGGGCGGACAGGGCCACAGATGGCACCCCAAAAATGGAACCTCCAAAAATTGTTTTCCAAAATGAATCCAAAATCGACAATAACATCTTGAGTCCCATGTCATGTGTAAATTTGATCATTTATTCCCATGTCATCTGTCCAAAAAAAATGGAAAAATACCTGCCCCTTAGATCGGCGCATAACTTCCACATCATGTGTAAAAAAAAACAAAATCGATACATAAATCCCGGAGAATCGATGCCGGCAATCTTAGATCAAAAATAGCAATGTCGTAAAAATACGGCTACATCTACATTTGATTTTGGTGACATTTGTTGGAATCTGTCGGAAATCCACTGGATTGTGTGGGAAATCGATGAAAAAACGCAAACATCCTTTGTTTCGAAAATGCGCATGCGAATCGATATGTAGGCCAAAATCTTGACAAATCGTGACGAATCATTTTTTGAAAACAGTGAACCCGTCGAAAATACCATGACAAAACGTGATGAACCGTGATGTGCTAGTCGCGTAAGTAGATTCCCTCCCTAGACCCTCCCAGGAAAAAACACGGAACCTACGCTCGCGTAACCGCTCTACAAATTTAGTCGAAACCTCGCCAAGTATATGTATTCATCTACTTAGCGTGAGGCTATCGCCGCGGTATACATATAACCAATATACAGAAACACGCGTTATATATATATATATATACAAACATGCAACTGCAGCAACTGACATAACAAGCACAGCAAATGTGGAGGAATTTCAAACAAAAATGAATCCGGAAAAATGCTCACCGCATGTTGCGGTAAAATTATAATTCCGCAAATGTTGCCGAATTACGACTACGGACGTGCAATAATGCATACGAACGTTAAGAAAAAACAAGGTTTACCGCAAATGTCAGCAAATAGACCCAGCATGGATAGTTTCAAAGCATTCTGTTTCCAAGACGCGTTTGACATGATCCCTTGAAGCTCTGGGGGCGAAGTCAGAGTTACAACACATTTACAAAGTTTCGCACTACCAGGCTACTACAGAGACAAGGAAGACGCTCTTCTCTCTCATCTGAAGCTTTCCGAGGCAACGGCTAAGTGGCTAAGTCACATGAACTTGCCCTCTGCGGGTTTTGCCTTGGGTAGCTGCACCCTCGCAGCCTGATCAGCGTAGCCAGTTCCCTGGCATATCCATCCCTGGTCACTCCATGGATGAGTCTGACCACACACAAGTCCTCGTCCCTGGCCCTTCCAGGGATGAGCCTGATTTCACAAAAATCTCTCGTAACCACGAGAAGGCTAATGAATATATACTCAAAAGCTCTCTGTATCACAGAGGCCCCCAAAACTCGCTGATTACTGCGTTGCTAGCGCAGACCCTAGCTCATACTGAGCCTTCAAGGTTCAAGACCACCCCCGGGTCCTGGGTGAGGAAACAAGAAAAATCCTGCTATTTTGGATCAAGGCACTTGAGTCAAAATATCAAGAGAACTTTATAAATGATTTGTGCAAACCCAAACTTTCCAAACCTGATTCGCATATCTATCCACTCCTTCCATTTTGTTGCGAAAACGCGTCACCAAAGGTCAAGGTTTCATGATCGCGTGGCAAGGTCAAAAGCGGCTCGACTTTGTCTATTCCAAACGTATACCACTGGACTCATTGACCACAAAGGTTGTTCCCAAAAAATCGATGGTGGTTTACCAACTGAGGTGATCAGACTGGCGGGATTCACGGGGAAAAGTTTTCATGCTAGCGTGCTAGACCCAAGAGCCTTGTGATCCATACTTTAGCCTACGGGTTGAAAACCGAACCAGCGTTTTGCATGTTTCTATGTCTTTCATGGGGTTAACGGGGTGGGGTGGGGTAATAACGTTCATTTGCACTGCCTGACATACATGATGCTACGCTGCTGTACGTCTTTTTGCACTTCCTCACATGCATGATGCTACGCTGCTGTACGTCTTCTTGCACGTCCTCACATACATGATGCTATGCTGCTGTACGTCGTCTTGCACTTCCTCAAATATATGATGCTACACTAGTGTACGTCGTCTTGCACTTCCTCACATACATGATGCAACGCTACTGTATATCGTCTTGCACTTCCTCACATATATGATGCTACGTTAGTCTACGTTAGTCTTGCTCAATGGCAAGATTTGGACGCATGTTCGCGCTTGGCAGTGGAGATGGGAAAACAGTTCCCACAAAAACCTCTGCAAGCTCACTGCAGAAATTGTGAAGAACACTTAGCGCGAAAAAAAAGAGAGTGCCGCTGAGCTTTTTTACATATCCAGTAAAAGTACGCGCGTACTTTTTTAAGGAAATTGAACTTTGAGAGACATGCAAAACCACTGTGATTTGTGGTATGAAATCAATGACGAACACCGCAAACGTTGAAAACGCGGGTTCGATAAACAACCCGCCGGGATACTTTACTAACACATGTCTTCTCCAAAAACTGTCTGGTGCGATCACATCTTCAAGCTTTGGAATTGAAATGGGTTCCAAGAGTGCTTGGCAAGTTCACTCTCTCCATGTTGCGGTGACAACCGTTTGCCACATGTCTAGGTTTGAAAACTGATAGGAAGGGTCATAATCGGTTTGCCGTTGGTGCGTTGTTAGTGGATGCCAAAAGATAATGATGAGAAATGTTCTCTCCAAGAGATGTTTCGCGCGGTCGCTCCTTGCAAGCGATGGCTGGAGTGCCCGAATGGAGAAACCTGGCAGAACCAGAATCACTATTTTCATTCTGTCGCCAAACGTCCAAGTTTGAAAACGGGTTGCGGTCACTAGTTTCCAACATCGTCAACGATTCAAAAAACATGTGAGTATGCAAGCGGTATGTCTGATGGCATTGCTCTCTCCCAGTGAATGCAACATACAGGTGTAAATTCATTGACGTCTGGCTGGACAGCCCAATTTTCTATCATCTGGCAAACTCCTATTGACGGCGTCTCTTGAAAAGAGGTGTCACTTCTGACCAACCAGGTCCAAGGTTGGCTTGAGTGACCACAGGCGGCGATCCATCTGGGGTCCAAGGCTCAACTTTCTGAACATCCATGTTTCGACTCGGGGTCAAAGGGCATTCCAGATTTGCTGCAACTGAAGAATCGACCTCCTCGCCAATCATGGACGCTGCCATGTCCACTGCTGTCACATGGTCTGGCTCGAAAGAAAATGGGAGCGCAGAATTTCTGTCTGACGAAGAAGCAGGGTGGTCAGCAAGCACTGGTGCCTCCGCAGCACTGACCTCAATGGGCAGCCTGGCAGGTTGCTCAAGCTGTGCCGGCTCACCCTGGATAGCTCGTTCCATCTCAATGACCTGCTCTTCCATATCCGGAGCTCTGAGTTTGTAAGCTGCCGCATTTCGATCAATCCACTTCGAATAGCAGCTCCCGCATCTCATTGCAAGTTTCATCTGAGGATCCTGCTGGCTCTTTGGCAGCGCCTTCCGCAAGTGCCATCGAAGGCAAAATCGGTTCTGAAAGGCCTCAGCTTCTGCTTGGTCTGGAACTCCTTTCGACGACAAAGGAATGATTTTTTCCTGGGCAGTTATGATGAAAGGTGGCGGGGTCTCAACTGTGACTGAGGCTCCTCCTTTCACTGCGGCCTGCACACTTTCTCCTTCCAGAAGAAGCAGGATCGTGTCCCACCCTATCGGGGACAGGGTGTGCCTCCAATCCTGCCAACAAGCCACCAAATAGTTCTCCAACCCTTGCAGCGGGAAAGTGTCGTTCCGATTAGGACGCACAAAAGCCTTGTGCTTGAAGATAGACAACAAGGGCCGGGTTAAGCAGGTTTTGCCCGCGTTGGACGCACCATATACCAATAAATTGCCACTCTTGAGAGCCGTGCCAATCCGAATCATCCGCTGCACCAAAAAAGAAAAGCGCTCTCCATCCTTCTCATGGAATGACAGCAAATCATCCAAACCGTTTTGAAGTCGATCTGGCGTAGGACAAACACAGGGCGAAGCCAATGCTTCATTCCACATGGCTAATCGATCCTCACGCAAAGACTTCAGTGTGCATCTCCCAACCATCAGCTGTCGCCAGGATGTGAACAAAGGTCCCATCTTCGACCCTTGGCGGGCCATAAACTCCATGTATTGTGGAGCGCCCTTGCGCTGCTGCTCCTGTGCCCAAGTGACGCAATCAGCATAAGTCTGGATGGCGGGAATCTTGCGGATGATTTGGTAAAAGTCCCAAGGACGCAAGTGTGATTTCGACTTGCCTTTACATTTCTTCTCCAGCTGGTCAATGGGAAATTTCGAACTGAAGAGAGGGTCAGGGTCCAATTCCGACAAAGGCTTCCGGCAGCTAGGCACGTAGCAATACGCGATCACGCGCCAGAAGCACAAGAATCGGGTCGGTAAAGACAAATGTGCGTAGATCGAATTTCTCCGCAAAGCTTGAGCGATTCTGATCCATTTCACCCGCCTGTTCAGCTTCAGACAAATGTGAAAATGAGGCTTCCGCTCCCACTCTTTGCTGCTCGCAGCATGGTATTCCTTGAAGATTGCATAATACTCCAAACAGGTCCCATAAACCTGCTTATATACTCGCATTATTTGCTTGGGACTGGAGTTCTCTGCCGTTTTTCTGTCTTCTCGTGCGCTATATGGAAGGGTCCAGAAGTGCACTGTGTGCCCTCGATAAGAATGGTCCGGCTTGGCTGTCACCAAATCTGCAAAGCGGTCACATCCTTCATCTTCACTGGAAGGCACATCTTCTGGGAACAGGTCAGGAAACTCCGTTTCACTGCCTGACACTGAAGAGCTGTCATCCAGAGAGTCTGCTGCTTCCACGGCAGCACTTGAGCTGGAACTACTGGAGGAAGCCTTGGTGGTGCATGTGAGGAACATATCCCCTGGGAACCGTAAGATCTGGAACATACTCCCCCTTCCCCCCTCCAAACAAAGATAAGATGATAGGCGAGGAAAACAAGTCAAGAAAACGTATCAAAAAAAAATGTCACAATCAAGCGAGCAACGGCCTGAGGCTCTGCTGCCCCTTCCATGTTGCCTGCCATCAAGACATTGCCGCATCACATTCACAAGCAGGTGCAGAAAACAGGCACACTTCGCAAACCATAAGCCATCAAGACAAAACGCATGATATGTATCAGCCGCTTTCGACTGCTGACACAGAGGGCACACTAGGTGCAAAGACTTAAAAGTCAACAACGCAAAGAAACCATATCTCTGCGAGTGACTTGCAAGATTCAACCCCGGGTTTCAATTCCAGTGCTGCTGCCTTTTGGTGAGCAATATATTTGTCCTCTGCTTGTGCTTTGCGTCTTCCTGTTACATCATCTCTTGGGCCAGAAGTCTGCATTTCAAAGCCACAGCGCATTCGACGGACAACTTTGAGCATCTTTGTTGGGTGGGGGCACGGGGGAGGAGAATGTAGATGGAGGAGGCATGCTGGAGAATGCAGCACTCTGAACCGTGGCGACACAAATTGGTGGCACATGTAGCTTGCGCATTGAGTGGCTTCTGCGAAATCATCCTGGCCTCAACCAGCAGGTCCGATGCGCAGGCTATGCCAATAGTCCAGGTACCTTCGCCGAACGAGGAAAGCAAGTATGACCAAACTCCGTATATGACTCTTCTCTGCTTGTGGGGAAAGCCTGGAGATTTGCTATCCTTTGGTGATGATTGCATTGGATGTGTGGCTTCACTGCACCCATGCAGCGCTCTGATGAACTGTTTCCCGCAAATGTTGCCCTGCGCTTTCTTTTACAACGCTCCAGCTGTGGTATGATACCTGCACCTGCAACTGCAAATCACAATTGCACCATCCATTCTCAAGCTCAGAAACAAGCTGAATTCAGTGTGTTGGAAGAAGTCCGGATGAGCTCTCACAGCGACATGCTCCATTCCTTTCATTCACTGGCCAGCGTCCGCAGCAAACCATCGACATTGTCCAACGCCTTTGCCTTGGCTATCTTCAACTAGGATAAAGATCGTCAAATCGGACCTGCAGGTGCAGTTGTGCTCGAGCTGAACCGGAATTGGCTGAAGTAATGGAGCGCTGCGAAAGAATATGCATAGCAGCGAAAAGATCGCAATAAGCAAGTGGTAATATTGAACGGCAAAGAATCATCTCAAGAATCTTTTCGCATCTGGGCTATCCGATATCCATCAACGAAGGACATTTTGTCAAGAAATGCTGATCGGTTCAATGTTCGTTTTCGTTGTTGTTCAAAGAGGGAATGATTTTTGGGAAAACGGCATGAACCAAGGAAAGTTGGAAAGGAGTCCTGTTGTCATCGTCACTGCTTGCATGAAAGCACGAAAGTACAAAACGCTCATCCGGACGGCTTCAACAATGGGGAGACAAAAGAGCATCCAAATCCAGCCAGTTACCACATAACAATACGTGATTGGATACAAAGCCGTTTGCAGTAATCAAAGATCAAGAAATTGGCCAGGATCAAGAATGTCAGCATGCTTTTGCACATCTTCCATTGTGTGAGCTGGGCATGACGTATACCCCACAACTGAGAGCCTAGATGATCTAGATGCTTCTAGAACAGGTATCCACCATCATGTCGTGTACACCAACTCTTCACATTCCAGCATGCTTTCACACATGAACTGATTTCCATGCAATCGTTCTTTGGGAGTTATAGATCGTTCAGCGCTCTTTGCGTTGTTCGTTTGCGCAGGGGCTATGCTTGACTCGCTAATTTTTTCACATCCCACGGATGTCACAGAAAACATGTAATGGATTAGAACGTCTGAAATCCTGTTGAATGAGTATGTGTAAAACATGGCATCAGTCGTTTCACGTTCTTTGTCTCAGCCATGTGTCCATCCTCAAAAGATGAAGCTCGAACAAGTTGAACAAACTCCTGTAAATGGCGAAACAGCTGGTTGCTGGACTGCCGATTGAAGAACTTGCAGCTGCCAAGCGGGCACAAAAGGCATCTTCAGCTCTCAAAAGATGAAGCTCGAACAAACTCCTGCAAATGGCGAAACAGCTGGTTGCTGGACTGACGAGGATCCTCAAGGATCTCTATATATTTCTTCTTATGTTTACCCAAATTTGCTCCCAGCGCCCGAAAACAAGCACTCTGCATATCATAGGAATGTATACAATATGTAGGAATGATATTATTGTCATGAAACGACTGGGTGACATACACACAAGGTGTAGTAATGCAGCATGTCAACAAAAACTTAGATGGACCAAAGTAATGCCATGGATGTCTTGTTCTTTGTACGTAACCACAAATGCGCCTCTGTCTCAGTGCAGCTGCTGGCCAAAAATACAGTAGTGTCCTTGGGACACCCCCACAGCAAACTTGAATGTCTCAAATCACTCCAATCATTGAATTACAGGTGCACAGTACGATCGATTTTTGTCATGGTCACCATCTTTTAGCACGCAAATTAGACAAAGACAAATCACCGACCAAATCTCTTCCAAATCATCTTGAGCAACTGACCTTTGAGCAGCTCGGGCAAGCCGGCACAAAAGGCATCTTCATCTCTCAAAAGATGAAGCTCGAACAAAGTTGAACAAACTCCTGCAAATGGCGAAACAGCTGGTTGCTGGACTGACGAGGATCATCAAGGATCTCTATATGGTTGTTGATCAAAATTCCTTTCTCCCGGAACGGCCATTCTTCGCGAATAAAAATTTTACTTTCGCGAAACTTTCGCGAATTCCATGTTTATCTTTCGCGGGGCCCATGTTGGCCAACAACACCTCTTATGAAGATTCGTTCACCACCTGCCAAATTACGCCAGAGAATCACGGATCACTTCTTGGAGCCTTTTAAACATGCAGCTAGCATCACGGAATCCCTTCTCAGGACAGACTTTCTTTTGCAAAGTTTACTGGCCCACCCCCTTCCACATGCACTTTGACTTTCGCCCGCTCTTTCGCATAACTTTCGCGGACCTTTCGCGAAAATATCCCTATTCACAGACCCCGGCCATCAGCAGGGGGTGCACTGAAGGAAAAGCGAAGACCAGGGGCCTTGGTGCTTGGCTCTCGCAAAGCCTCACTTTTGGAAACTTGGCTACTGCTACTCGCATTCTCTGGTGCCCTTCTCCTGCCGGACCCCGGGCGGCAGTGGGTGGCAGCCCTTTACATATTTATTATAATACCCAACTTTCGCGAAACTTTCGCGAAATAAAATTTTACTTTCGCGAACTCGAACTTTCGCGAGGGTTTCCAACATAACATGCACGGCTTTCGCAATTAAAACTCCTTACAAGGACCTTTAGATCGGTCACCATATATTTCTTCTTAAGTTTACCCTCATTTGCTCCCAGCGCCCGAAAACAAGCACTCTGCATATCATAGGAATGTATACAGTATATAGGAATGATATTATTGTCATGAAACGACTGGGTTACATACACACAAGGTGTAGTAATGCAGCATGTCAACAAAAACTTAGATGGACCAAAGTAATGCCATGGATGTCTTGTTCTTTGTACGTAACCACAAATGCGCCTCTGTCTCAGTGCAGCTGCTGGCCAAAAATACAGTAGTGTCCTTGGGACACCCCCACAGCAAACTTGAATGTCTCAAATCACTCCAATCATTGAATTACAGGTGCACAGTACGATCGATTTTTGTCATGGTCACCATCTTTTAGCACGCAAATTAGACAAAGACAAATCACCGACCAAATCTCTTCCAAATCATCTTGAGCAACTGACCTTTGAGCAGCTCGGGCATGTCAGCACGAACCTTAAACCAGCAACAACATCGAACCATGTCCAGCTGTGAAGTGGATGTTTCAAACTTGCCGTAAACAGATATTTTCCAAGGAACTCTGCAATGCTTGGAAGCGTGGCTTTCGGTTGAACCACATTGATTCCAGAGACGTAGATCTTTAAACCAACATCTCCTGGAGAGTACCTTACATCATGAGACCATGCTAGCCGCTAGCCGTCCATGCCTCAACTTATGAATCCAACACTGGAACAGAATCTGAAACATCTGAAACATGCAAATGACATGTTGCCTAATATTTCCTGCTGGCCGCATCGCTGAACAGTCGGCTGGAATTCAATACCATGAAGCCGTTGTCAAATAAGAGATTCGGTAATTTGGTGGTGGTATGGCAACCCCTTGCCGCTTAGTAGCAAGTGAGTACCGCTGGCCAAGCAAGAGGCTCCGTCCATGCAGTTCATGGCCACATCCTACTAGAAATGCAAGGTCTGCCCGTTCACTGCAGCATTAGGACAACCCGGTGACAACTCAGTCAAAACACCATGAAAACCAGTCAAAAATGAACATCAAAGCGAAGCTGTCGAAAAATGATCCAAGGTCTAGCTCCAGGGCCTTCTCATTTCAGCTACAATTTTCAAGTATTTAAATAATCCGATCATTTTTGACGTACGTTGGTTTGAATGCCACAATGTGCCACAGTTGCTCTGTTGCAAGCATTTCAGCCGCGGTGTCTTGAACAGAAAGCATTTCAGGATCCCTGCGTGCATTCTGTCAAAGCATCCTAACAAAAATCACTACAAAATGCATTTCCGATTTTCAAGTGCTTTTTTCGAAAAAATGACAAGCCGCTACAAGATGCAGCGCATGCCCTCTTACTACAAAAACCAGTGCAGGAATCCGTTTTTGTTGCATGAATTCTCCCCGTAACAGGGGATGGTATCCAGCACGTGTTCACCCTTTTAGTTGTGGAAATGGTAAGGGGGCTCTTTCAGGCACAATCGCAAGGCAGCAAGTGACAACATGCTACCCGCTTGGCTCATGCATGTTGTGGCACGGCTTGGAACCGGTTGCAGCACACTTGCAAAATGTTTTGCCACATCCAGCTTACTTCTTCCCTTAGGGAAAATGTTGCGGCCCTCCGACTCAGTCAGCGGCGGCAGTGAGATGCCTGGTACACTTGGCCAACCAAAAGCCGTTGCGATTAGCTCACATCCTTTTGCGGATTTGAAGGCGGTTAGCTCCATGTCACAGCTGGTAGCAGTCATCCACCAGCAGCACCACCTGCAGCAGGTTCTGCTGGCCCACCTGCGCTGGCAAACGCAGCAAGATTCAGTAAAACTGTTTTGCTGCCACAGCGATTCAAACCCAAACCCTTTGAAAAAAAGGATTTCAAAGCATATGCACTTGCAAAAATTACAACACAAAGGTTGCCCGGACTGTGGCTATGCTCATACCACCACCGGACCACTAGTGGGGAACAAAACACACGGCCGGGCACCCTGGTTCTCCAACAGCTTCTCTATGTCTTCGCGTGAAAGGTTCTTAGCTGCCTGCGCTCAACAGCCCCCACATTCTGAAAGCGCACTGCTTCACAACCAGGCGACATGCAAGAACTGCAAGAATTGCAGGCCTTGACAAGGTTTGCACGACGCTTGCGGAGTTTCCTGTCCTCTTTGGAGGCCGCGCGCAGCTCCGCTTTCAGTTCCGTGCGGCGCCTCTTGACTTCACTGAGTTCCTCATGAAGTAACGCCTGCAATGACGATTGCAAATGGGAAACCAAAGATTTTAAAGGAGGGAAAAACCCATGGACAACAAAATGGGAAGCGAATCCATAGGTGTAGGAAACCAGGGGTGAAACATTAGCAAGAATGGAAGTTGATTTATGGGCAAGACTGAGTGTCTGTTTTTGGGCCTACAAAACCCACGCAAAACCGGAGACACAAATGGAGGCCCCCCCAGTTCCAAAAGGTGTTTCCACAGCAGTTTAATCCAATGTTCTAATGGGTTTGCCTTTGTACAGCCGAACATGACCTTTGGCCGCTGGCTGCTTCCAATGCACATAGGACAGAACATCCAGCTTACTTCTTCCCTTAGGGAAAATGTCGCGGGCCTCCGACTCAGTCGGAGGCCCTGGTGGGATGGTCGGTACACTTGGCCAACCGAATTCAAAGAGTAAAGATTGACACACATCCTTTTGCCAATTCGAAGCACCAACCTTGGCGAAGGCCCGGCTCCATTTCACAGCTGGTAGAATTGATTGTAAAGATGAACCCAAGATCTCCAGCCATTGGGCAGGCGAAATCTTTCCGTCCACACTCATTGATTGCTGTGAACGATATAGCTCTGCGATTTTCTCCTTCAGCCGCGAAAATAGATCTGTGTCTGCTGGTTGAAGGCAACGTGTGAGCCCAGCTGCAATGTAGACCAAACGAATATGGTTGAGCTTCGCTTGCCTTTTAATGGAACCGTGCAAGTGAGAAGGCGCGCAATCTAGAAGTAGTGCATAGTCACGGCCCGGAGCTGCAGCCTTGAGCTTGAATCCAAGCAAAGAAATATATCGTCTCAGTGTAGCATGGCATGACCAAGCGCTTTTCTGGGTCCAAACGGACAGATTGCCCCTGAGTTTCTCCACTTTGGCCTTCTTTCCAAGAAACCGACCGTTCGTGAGGAGAACCTGCGGAAGGAATGGCTGCACAGACGTGTCATTGCAAATCGTGCACATCAATGTGAACCGAGCCCGCGTCTCAGCCAAAGATGCGGCATCTACAGCCTTGTGCCCTGTGAAGCCCCGGGCGACAGTGCCAACCTTCGCGGTTGGCTTCAAAGCAATGGAAGTTTCGTCCATGTTCAGCAAGAGAAGAGGACCCGAGCTGCTTGATTGTGCATGAACGTAGTTGCTCCATCTCCAAAAAGCTTTCGCCTGCCGACTGTAGGGTCAAAAAATGGTCCCTTCTGGGAGGTCATGAAATTGACCCTCTATTAAACACAAGCAAGGGAGGGCCCAAAAACGGTCCCTCCAGGAGGGTCCAAAAGTGGCCCCCAGAAATCGACCAAAAATACCTTTTTGACAAAAACAATCCATATCGAATCTTTTCTCATTTCAACCATCCAAAACAATGACTTTCTCCCGCCTTGCGCTGCATGTCTGCTAGAGGCATCACTGCCTGCACACGCACGCGGCCCAACTGTAGACCATGTTCAAAACGAAAGCGGCGCAACCACTTTCTTTGTGACCTTGCGCGTCCATTGCCTTTCCAGTACTGCTCCAGCATGGCTGCCACATCATGCGGCAAATCCTTTGGAGTCAGCCTGCACGCTTCTGCTACTAATTGTTGCCTCCCAGGTGCAACCCCTTTCTTGTTTTGGGCAAGCAGCCATGTGTATAGCTGCGTTTCAACTATAAAGCGACCCGCCGCAAACAAGTCACGACGGTGGCGTGGGCATGTGGGACTATCTAAGAGGCCCACAATGGTTTCGAAAGGCACCTGCAAATAGGCATCTTCAAATGCAGAAGCTAAAGAATTTGACAAGGAAGCCTCTGCCACATTCAACTTGTTCTTGGCCGCCAAAAAGCGTGCAGCACAAGCAGAATTTCTGCCGCTCAACTCGAAAACAGCCAAAACAGATGTTGCAGTAGGCTGTACTTTGAGCATCACATGCTCTCGGGGGTCGCTAGTTCCTTCCTCCTTGGCAAGCTCAAGTCTTTTGCGTCTGCACAATCTTCTCTGCAAAGCTCGCAGGTGCTGAACGACACTTTTCAGCTCACCACCCACAGCGGCCATGGCTGCCACGAATGCATACGGAAATTGGCCTGGGCTTGACATCGACAAAAGCAGCCACACAAGACACATGTGCACAAAGGCAAATAGCTTCGAAGAACATCGCAAACCCTATGTCATATGATAGGTATGTCAACCTTTGAGTCAACACTTCGCCGATACTTTGCACTAACAAAGCATGGTTTTGCGAAGAAGCGGTTGCAGCACCGGGGAGGCCCAACAAGCGTCTCCATTTTGCATTGGTTTTCAAGGGTCCAAAACTAGGACCTCAAAATCAACCTTTTAAAGACAACCCGATCAATCATTGAAAGCCACAACCCAAGTGATCTCGCCTCGGTGTTCCTTTTTGGAGCCATGCCACGCACGCGTCTTCGTGTGTCAGTTTGGGCCATTCAAACTCAACAAACGACAAAAACAAACCACAAATGTTCAGCTCGCACATGCACATGGTGAGGGCCAAAGTGACGCAACACGGGCACCCAATGGCAAATCTTCTCTTGCCGCAAGCGATCTGTTTTGACTCCCTTCAGCTGGTATTGGATAACAAAGCTGTCACCACCCCATGTGAGCCTTCTCAAGAACAATTAAATTAAAGCCATGCGGTCTCGACCTTTTGCTCCTCAGTCCAGATCGGACGCCCACAAACACCCGAGGCAAGGCACATGAAGACGACAAAGTCCAGCAAGAAGGCGGCGAACGCGGCGAAGTCCAGGAAGAAGACGACGAAGGCGGGCGGCGAAGTCCAGGATGAGGACGGCGACGGCGGCGAAGTCCAGGAAGAAAACGACGAGGGCGGGCGGCGGAAGTCCAGGATGAGGACGGCGACGGCGGCGAAGTCCAGGACGAAGAAGGCGAAAACGGCGAAGGCGTCAACAAAAGCAAAGTAGCTGCAATCTACCATGTTCGAGAAGTTCCTCGACAGAAAGTGCAGCCGCGGCTGCTTCTGAAAAAAGTCCTTTTAAAACCAAATGTCCATTCTTGGGACGCCATCTTCCCCAATATACGCCCAGATAGTGGGACATAAATCTCTGAAAATTTTCCTGGAACCAAATTGGCCATTTTTTCGGCGCCATCTTTGGCGATATACGTCCAGATAGTGGGACAGAAGTCCCTGGCACAAATACGCCCAGATAGTGGGACAAAAATCCCTGAAAGTGTTCTGGTACAAAATTGTCAATTTTTTCGGGCGCCATCTTTGGCAGTATAGTGGGACACAAAATCTCTGAAAATTTTCCTGGAACCAAATTCTTATACGTCCAGATAGTGGGACAGAAGTCCCTGGCACAAATACGCCCAGATAGTGGAACAAAAATCCCTGAAAATTTTCTGGTACAAAATTGTCAATTTTTTCGGGCGCCATCTTTGGCAGTATAGTGGGACAAAAATCTCTAAAAATTTTCCTGTTGGCAATATACGTCCAAATAGTATCAAATAGTGGGACAGAAGTCCCTGGCACAAATACGCCCAGATAGTGGGACAAAAATCCCTGAAAGTTTTCTGGTACAAAATTGTCAATTTTTTCGGGCGCCATCTTTGGCAGTATAGTGGGACACAAAATCTCTGAAAATTTTCCTGGAACCAAATTCTTATATACGTCCAGATAGTGGGACAGAAGTCCCTGGCACAAATACGCCCAGATAGTGGAACAAAAATCCCTGAAAGTTTTCTGGTACAAAATTGTCAATTTTTTCGGGCGCCATCTTTGGCAGTATAGTGGGACAAAAATCTCTAAAAATTTTCCTGTTGGCAATATACGTCCAAATAGTGGGACAGAAGTCCCTGGCACAAATACGCCCAGATAGTGGGACAAAAATCCCTGAAAGTTTTCTGGTACAAAATTGTCAATTTTTTCGGGCGCCATCTTTGGCAGTATACTGGGACACAAAATCTCTGAAAATTTTCCTGGAACCAAATTCTTATACGTCCAGATAGTGGGACAGAAGTCCCTGGCACAAATACGCCCAGATAGTGGAACAAAAATCCCTGAAAGTTTTCTGGTACAAAATTGTCAATTTTTTCGGGTGCCATCTTTGGCAGAATCCGCAGAGCAACTGAGCAACTTCCGTAACGTACTAAAGACGGAAAATAAATTTTAGTTTTCAGTTCTCAAAAAAGTGCTCAGTTGCTCCTCCCATTTGGTCAATCTCTTTTTGGAAAACCATTTTTGGAACCATGTGTGTCCAGAGAATGGGACAGAAGTCCCTGAAAGATGTCCTGCCACAACACGTCCATTTTTGGGGTGCCATTTGTGGCCTTATCCGCCCAGACAGTGGGACAGCAGGTCCCTGAAAATTGTCCTGAAACCAAATGTCCATTCTTGGGGCGCCATCTTCCCCAATATACGCCCAGATTGTAGGACAGAAATGCCTGACAATTTTTTCTGAAACCAAATGCCCATTCTTTGGGCGCAATCTTCCCCAATATACGTCCAGACAGTAGGACAGAAGTCCCAGTGTTTTTTTCTGAAACCAAATCGCCATTCTTGAGGCGCCATCTTCCCCAATATACGCCCAGATAGTAGATTTTTTTTCTGGCGCCATTTTTTTTTCAGGTGCCATCTTGGGCAGTAAAATTACAGATGGCACCCCAAAAATGGAACCCCCCAAAAAAAAAACAAAATGAATCCAAAACCGACAATAATACCTTGAGTCCCATCTCATGTGTAAATTTGATCATTTATTCCCATGTCATGTGTCAAAAAATTGAAAAATACTTGCCCGTTAGGTCAGGGACCTGCTGTCCCATTGTCTGGGCGGACAGGGCCACAGATGGCACCCCAAAAATGGAACCTCCAAAAATTGTTTTCCAAAATGAATCCAAAATCGACAATAATATCCTGAGTCCCATGTCATGTGTAAATTTGATCATTTATTCCCATTGTATCTGTCCAAACTCATTTGTAAATTTGATCATTTATTCCCATGTCATGTGTCAAAAAAAATTGAAAAATACCTGCCCGTTAGGTCAGGGACCTGCTGTCCCATTGTCTGGGCGGACAGGGCCACAGATGGCACCCCAAAAATGGAACCTCCAAAAATTGTTTTCCAAAATGAATCCAAAATCGACAATAACATCCTGAGTCCCATGTCATGTGTAAATTTGATCATTTATTCCCATGTCATCTGTCCAAAAAAAATGGAAAAATACCTGCCCCTTAGATCGGCGCATAACTTCCACATCATGTGTAAAAAAAACAAAATCGATACATAAATCCCGGAGAATCGATGCCGGCAATCTTAGATCAAAAATAGCAATGTCGTAAAAATACGGCTACATCTACATTTGATTTTGGTGACATTTGTTGGAATCTGTCGGAAATCCACTGGATTGTGTGGGAAATCGATGAAAAAGCGCAAACATCCTTTGTTTCGAAAATGCGCATGCGAATCGATATGTAGGCCAAAATCTTGACAAATCGTGACGAATCATTTTTTGAAAACAGTGAACCCGTCGAAAATACCATGACAAAACGTGATGAACCGTGATGTGCTAGTCGCGTAAGTAGATTCCCTCCCTAGACCCTCCCAGGAAAAAACACGGAACCTACGCTCGCGTAACCGCTCTACAAATTTAGTCGAAACCTCGCCAAGTATATGTATTCATCTACTTAGCGTGAGGCTATCGCCACGGTATACATATAACCAATATACAGAAACACGCGTTATATATATATATACAAACATGCAACTGCAGCAACTGACATCACAAGCACAGCAAATGTGGAGGAGTTTCAAACAAAAATGAATCCGGAAAAATGCTCACCGCATGTTGCGGTAAAATTATAGTTCCGCAAATGTTGCCGAATTACGACTACGGACGTGCAATAATGCATACGAACGTTAAAAAAAACAAGGTTTACCGCAAATGTCAGCAAATAGACCCAGCATGGATAGTTTCAAAGCATTCTGTTTCCAAGACGCGTTTGACATGATCCCTTGAAGCTCTGGGGGCGAAGTCAGAGTTACAACACATTTACAAAGTTTCGCACTAGCAGGCTACTACAGAGACAAGGAAGACGCTCTTCTCTCTCATCTGAAGCTTTCCGAGGCAACGGCTAAGTGGCTAAGTCACATGAACTTGCCCTCTGCGGGTTTTGCCTTGGGTAGCTGCACCCTCGCAGCCTGATCAGCGTAGCCAGTTCCCTGGCATATCCATCCCTGGTCACTCCATGGATGAGTCTGACCACACACAAGTCCTCGTCCCTGGCCCTTCCAGGGATGAGCCTGATTTCACAAAAATCTCTCGTAACCACGAGAAGGCTAATGAATATATACTCAAAAGCTCTCTGTATCACAGAGGCCCCCAAAACTCGCTGATTACTGCGTTGCTAGCGCAGACCCTAGCTCATACTGAGCCTTCAAGGTTCAAGACCACCCCCGGGTCCTGGGTGAGGAAACAAGAAAAATCCTGCTATTTTGGATCAAGGCACTTGAGTCAAAATATCAAGAGAACTTTATAAATGATTTGTGCAAACCCAAACTTTCCAAACCTGATTCGCATATCTATCCACTCCTTCCATTTTGTTGCGAAAACGCGTCACCAAAGGTCAAGGTTTCATGATCGCGTGGCAAGGTCAAAAGCGGCTCGACTTTGTCTATTCCAAACGTATACCACTGGACTCATTGACCACAAAGGTTGTTCCCAAAAAATCGATGGTGGTTTACCAACTGAGGTGATCAGACTGGCGGGATTCACGGGGAAAAGTTTTCATGCTAGCGTGCTAGACCCAAGAGCCTTGTGATCCATACTTTAGCCTACGGGTTGAAAACCGAACCAGCGTTTTGCATGTTTCTATGTCTTTCATGGGGTTAACGGGGTGGGGTGGGGTGGGGTAATAACGTTCATTTGCACTGCCTGACATACATGATGCTACGCTGCTGTACATCTTTTTGCACTTCCTCACATGCATGATGCTACGCTGCTGTACGTCTTCTTGCACGTCCTCACATACATGATGCTATGCTGCTGTACGTCGTCTTGCACTTCCTCAAATATATGATGCTACGCTAGTGTACGTCGTCTTGCACTTCCT